CGCAGTGAAAAACTCCCAAAGAAATCCCACAATTAACGGGAAAAAGGCTAGAAACCTCGAGGAGACACAGGATGTGCAATAGACAATCAGAATGACAAAACTGATGATGTTTGTAAAGAAAATGGTTCCAGGAGGATGTCCAAAGTCTTCCAGGTGGCGACAAAATTATAGCGTGATTATATTTAGCAAACAAAATGGTACAATTAACTTTTATGAGCAGAAAACAGAAAGGGAAAGTGTTCTAAATTCACAAAAACACTGAAATGTGCCAACAAAAAACCTCTGGTAGTGACAAGTCGACGGCAGCTGTTTGGTTTTCTGATTCAATAACGGCAGTGACGACGGGCTGAGACCACGACACAGACGTCACCTTTAATACTGACAACTTGTAAGTAGAAAAATGCAAAAAAACTCAGATGATGCTGAGTTAGAAAAATGCATTAATGAGACATGAGTGCAGAGAGATACAGAGAAATAAAAGAAGGAGAAGAGAGGTGAAAGTCAGCTGAAAATCTAAGCATTTAGCAGCAACACTATAGGGCTGGTTTAAGCTTAGGGTTAGTTGGTAAGTTTGAGCAAGCCCTAACTATAAGCTTTATCAAAAAGTCTAAGGCCTAGCAGCATAACTAGGAGAGTCTTAAGAACCGTAACTAAGTGCTGGTCCAAGGTGAGCCTGAACCAGCACTTACTATAGGCTCTATCAAATAGGAAAGCCTTAGCGTATAGCAGCATAAATAGGGGCTGGTTCAAAGACAAACCTTAACCAGCCCTAAATCGAAGAGGAACATCTTAAGCATATTGCAGATCAATAAGGGCTGGTTTAAGTTAAGCCTGGGCCAGACCTAACTATAAGCTTTATCCCAAATTCTTAGGCCTATAGCATCATAACTAGGAGCCTTATTTTAGAGAGGAGAATCTTAAGCACCATAACTTGTCCAAGGTGAGTCCGAACCAGCGCTTACTATGAGCTTGATCTAATAGGAAAGCCTTAGTGTATAGCAGCATAACTAGGGGCTGGTTCAAAGACAAACCTTAACCAGCCAGAACATCTTAAGCATATAGCAGATCACTAAGGGCTGGTTTAAGTTAAGCCTGGGCCAGCCGTAACGATGAGTGTTATCACAAAGTCTAAGGCCTATAGCAGCAGCCTTATTCTTTAGAGAGGAGAATCTTAAGCACCATAACTTGTCCAAGGTGAGTCTAAACCAGCGCTTACTATGAGCTTTATCTAATATGAAAGCCTTAGTGTATAGCAGCATATAGGTGCTGGTTTAAGGTAAGTGTGAACCAGCCCTAACTAAAAGCTTACACTGAAAAGTCTTAGTCCTGCTCTGAAATGTGGGAAAGGTTTCAGCTTTCCAGACCAACACTGGGAGTTTGTTCCGCATAAGAGGAACTTGATATCTGAAGGAAAGGAATTATGACTTGTGATAACTGAGAACTGATAACCCAGCATGCATCACTGACAGCCCGTCTCATAAACGTCCATTCATGATTATGAGATGAATCCCAGCATCATGACATGGATCACAGCGCTCCTGGTGACAATTTAAAACACCATTCCCCTCGTGTCAAATTATAAGTGGCGCTCACTTTTTTTTGCAGATTACATTAAGTTTAACTCATTCTGGGAAAAAGTATGGTTGAAAAACAGGAAAATCTTTGCTGCCAATCATTAAAAAAGAAGCTTTGACTCGTAACAGAAGTGAGGATTTAATACAGCTTGTCACACTCAATGACGCACAAAGAGCAGGAGGAAAGTGAAAAGACTTGAAGGCAGCGGACTGGCAGCTCCTTTAGTGGAAAGTAATGCACACACACACACACACACACACACACACACACACACACGCACGCACGCACGCACACGCACGCACACACACACACACACACACACACACACGAGCCCGGGGTGTCTGACTTGCTTATTTTATCAGGTGCACCGCTAACCCCCCCCCCCCCCCCCCCCCCCCCCCTCCCTGCCTGCCTGCAAATCAGCTTCAGTTTCTCTTCTCTCTGCAGCAGAATAAGCTCATTATTATGACAAAGAAAATGCCATAAAAGTCTATTAATATAACTGCGTTTCACTCAGATTTGACCACAGTGTGTTATGCGTATTAAACTGCACTTTACGACACATTATTCTGTAATTGCACAAGATTGCGCGGATGATTTTTAGTTTGATCTGAAGAAGGGACTTTATTTTTGGAGTCAGAATTCAGACTTGTACTTTTGGCCAGATTGCAATCTTTTTTTTACATGTGTCCCTAATTCTCTTCCGTACTTGTATGTATATATATGTATATATACGTAAACACATTTAATTCTAATTTATTCTGTCACTTACATTTTTCAACATGTTTTATTTTTTATATTTCTTACGTATTTTTATTATTTTTGTTATTATCTGTCTTTATAATTTTCCTTGTTTAAGTCATATCTGTCCTATCCTGTGTTTCACCCTTATGTCTGCTGCTGCTGCTAAGTCCCCTGAATGTCCCTTATCTTATATGTATAATATCTTTAATTTAAATGTAATAATGCTGCAAAATGAGGTCAAAAGGACAACATGTGCCTACAAAACGCAGTTAAGTGAAAGTATAAAGAAGCATCAATGGGAAATAGGTGAAGTAATACTTAGTTTTTAATTAAGTACACTTGAGTTAACTCTCCTGCTATATGGACCACATTTAAGACTTGACATCGTTCCTGATTTCACGGATTCACACCCTCTTCACACGGGCTTTGATGAGTTATGACGTTTTGGATCCCTACAAGCAAACCCCTAATAACTACATAAATACTAAACTGTATATATATTGGGTTTTCCAATCAGATAACAGCAGCAGTGTGTGTTATGAATCTCATGTTTAACCACCGCACTGTTTAAGATTACCAGTGCAAATATTAGACATTTGGTTTTAAAGGAAAACCTCAGAACAGATTCAATTAGATTTCTTTCTGAATGGAGCAGAGAGAAAGGGTGTGTGTGGTGTGTGTGTGTGTGTGGTGTGTGTGTGTGTGTGTGTGTGTGTGTGTGTGTGTGTGTGTGTGTGTGTGTGTGTGTGTGTGTGTGTGTGTGTGTGTGTGTGTGTGTGTGTGTGTGTGTGTGTGTGTGTGTGTGTGTGTGTGTGTGTGTGTGTGTGTGTGTGTGTGTGTGTGTGTGTGTGTGTGTGTGTGTGTTCCTCACAGCTCAGCATCAGGTAACAATCTTTTATTTGTTTCAGCGCTCGCTGGGTGCCAGACTGAGAGGGAGCCGTCCAGCGTGGTAATCCATCTGAAGCCGCCTCAGTACCATAAATAAATACTTCCATGCTCCGAAACCCACGATTATTTAACGACTGTCATTCTGCAGAAATGAACATAAATGAGATAATCTAAATTAGAGACATGTGGGGGAAAGTTTTGGTGAGTTATCCTGCGTGTGCCTGCAGGTACAATCACTGGTTTTAGGTTTGGATGATTATTTGTATTTGGTATGAGTGGGGATGCAATGTTTTTACATTGAAATTACACTTTAAGATGTTGAAATGCTTTACTCGCTCTGTAAGAGATTTAATTATACCATTTTTTAAATTAATTTAGCTTTTTTAATATCAATCATACCAATATGTAAATGGAGAAATTAAATTACAGGTATTTTTTTTGGAAGAAAATGTTGAAATGTATTCAAACCCTCCACTCAGTCAGCAATAATAACATTACAAAAATAAATACATTGAATTGTTTTAACAGCTGAACATTTACACACCTGTATGTTAATGGAAAATTTGAATAAAATAAAAAATATTAATAATTTGTTTGGATTTCTCTGTTAAAAAAAAAACGCCCTGCGACAAACTCTGTTTTTTAAATTAGGAAAACACTGATTAATGTATTTTAAAGTAACAAATATAGTAAAACATGTAATATATGATTGCTGTTCCCTATTCAACATTAAACATCTCTTAGTTATTGTTTAATAATGACAAAATCACCTGTTCTTTTTCATTTATCGCTTAAAAATGACCTTTTTAAATGACAAGACCCAACAGAAACCAACCCAAATAAGTTCTACTCAACGCATAATGATAATAATAAAATATATATTACATATGATATTATATATAACAGGCTGCAGTGTGGGAACATTTGGAGGTTTTATGATCTGTATGAAGGAACAGATCTGAAATGTGTTGGACAGATTTCAGAGTGTGTGGCCCTGCAGAGGCAATTATAGGCATGTATATTTTCAGCGTTATGCCCATGAACACGACTCTCACACACACACACACACACACACACACACACACACACACACACACACACACACACACACACACACACACACACACACACACACACCAGCTGCCGTGCTCAAGGTTTTTTAGATGGAAATTATTATTATTATTAAAATGTCTTCAGATTTTACGCATTATTATAATGAAACAGCCTGACCTTGATTCTCGCCAACATGCTGCTTTTCCCGTCACTTTTAAAGCATATAATAAATATTTTACAAGAAAATCTCTGCTTCCTTCAGTTTCAATGTATTAAATAACACATGGAGCAATTTGACGGTTGATAAGCACGCGAATGATCGTTAATAAATACACAAATATGGAGGAAAATGTGTGTTTTACGAGTGGATGCTTATCGTATTTAAATATTTGATGCAAAGTGAAGCACTCTTTTATTTTATTATAAGGCCTCTGAGACCTGCATTCAACTTTAGTCGTCAAATGATGTTATTAACCCTTTTTTTAAATTAACATATTTGGATATTTATGCTTTCTTTGCTGCTCTTCTTATCGTTTAAGTAATTTTGTTTTACAGTCATCATTAAGAATGCGGGCCTAATTAGTTATTACATAAGTGCGGAAACGGAGATAAAGAGTAAACACGTGAGATAATAAAGCAGGTTTGGAGAATTACCCACAAAGTAAATAAATGACTCCATGGATCTGTACAAAATACAACTGAACTCGAGGATTAAATACTCACTTTTTATTTCATCCCATAAAAAAGTCAACAAAACTCGTCATTTAAATATTAAACAGAAAAAGAAGACAATAAAAAAACGCCAAAATATTTGTGCCATAAAACGTAAAAAAGGAGAAAGAGTTTGTTTTGTTTATGTACAACATTCTTTGAAAGCAGATGTGGAGAAACTCTGCTCATAGTGTCTCTGTTACCTGAGAAAAAGCTCTGAGTCCTGTCAGCTGCTCACTTATGATTGGCAGTGTGTAGCTTCTGATACTCCTGGTGCAAAGTGAGGAGGTGTGGAGAGGCAGCGGGGTGGAAGAGAGCAGGGGAGCCGAACATGGAGCTCAGAGGAGGGGAGAACCCGGCGCACTGAATCGGGGAAAAGGCTTCAAACCCGGGGTGAGTCTTTGCGAAGAAGCTGGAGAGCGCGGGCAGGATGCTGCTGACAGGCGGGATGGACACGGGGCTGCACGGGTGAGAGTGCGCGTGGTGATGGAGGTACGGGTAGATCTCCAGGCTGGGCAGCTGCAGAGCCGTAGCTCCAAACGCGTAATGCGGGAATCCGTGCAGCGCGCTGTGCTCCAGCTGCTGCCCCTTCAGTTGGTCGAAGCGGAAATGTTGCCTCTTGAAGCGCTTCCTCCTCCGCAGGAAACTCCCGTTCTCAAACATGTCCGAGGAGTTCGGATCCAGGGTCCAGTAGTTGCCTTTTCCCGGGTTCCCTGGCTCTCTGGGCATCTTTATAAAGCAGTCGTTCAGAGACAGGTTGTGCCGGATGGAGTTCTGCCACGCGGGGAACTTCTCCTTGTAATACGGGAAGCGTTGGCTGATAAAGTCACAGATCTCGCTGAGGGTGAGCCTCTTCTTCGGGCTCTGCAGGATGGACATGGTGATCAGAGCGATGTAAGAGTACGGAGGCTTCACCGAGGCGGGACTCTTGCCTTTGGCTGGAGATGGACACTCGGGCTCGGGGCTATACGCGTCCGGCTCTTTGGTCTCGGTGCTTCGCGACTCATCCGAAGGTTGGAGCTCTTCCTCTGCGCTGTCTTTGAGTCCTTCCCCCACTACATCGATCACAATATCCTCCATGGTTTCCAAACCCAATGTCATAGTAGATGTCCGCGGGCGAAGCCACCTGCCAACAGGTGGAGGAGTGACAGCTTCTCCAAAACTTGATCAACACACTTTTACGCACGACTCATCTCCATTCACAAAAAAAAGAAAAAGAATCCGTGCACCTCCTCCTGCTTTTCAACAAGCATCCACAGTTTTCCGCTCTCCTAACCGCAGGCGATGATATCCTTTGTTTTGGGCACTTTTACGCGCAACAGAGCGGTCAGCGAGTGATTGTGCGTAAAAGTGTAAAAGTGTGCGCGTCCTCCGAGGTGTCCAGCATCATCTGTAATCTGTGTTGCTTTCCTGTGGCTCGGGTGGAGGTGGATGTGATGTCACGGTGAGGCACAAGGAAAGGGATTCTGACCAATGAAAAAGACGCACAGGGTACCAAGAAGGCCTGTACCAGCCTCCATCGGCGGCACAGCGGTGCCAAATCGACGCGGACATTAAGAGATCCATTCAGGGAAAACTTCCTCATGAGCAGGGAATCAGGAGAAGGCTATATTTAGACAGGAGTTCACATTTTGTTTTTAGGCTGTGGATTTCAAAGCTGCTTTAAAAATGTTAAAAAGTCACAAAAATGTTCAAAATTATAGAAAAATAATAAGAGCGATTGTTTTTTGTTACCCCATCGTCAATAAACTATACAACATTATTTATATAACTTATTATTATTATTATTAAAAAAATGTATTATCATAATTTTACCCAAAATATTACATTTTCAATAATATGTATTTATATTTGTCCTAATAGTTGTTTCATCTGTGTAAAAAGCTTTTGGAAAATCACTTTTATTTTTACATTTGCCATCAAACCAAGGAGGGAAGAGCTGCACCTGAACGCGCCACGCTGATGGAAAACGATAATAAAACACCATAAATACACATTTTAATTTCCACACCAGATGATAGACACTTCGGATCACCCTGAGCTTACAGCCTGAGGGGGAAAATCCCCAAACGCTTCTCTACGTGAGGCAGGGATTTAAGCCTTAATCCATGGAAGGCTCCTGCAGCCGCTCTTTACGCACACTTGACGCACAATTACATGTTTGTCAGACGAACAAACAGAGGATGAAAACTGCAATGAGTGATTTACTGCTGCTGGGAAAATAATAATTTGTCGGCTGCATGCATGCTCTTTGAATTGCACAGGAGTCTCACTGCGGGCTTTCGGTCCTCTAACACAATATCGATAAATACCACCATGTGTGAAAATGGAGAAGGAATAATATTTGAGTCTGGATAGAAACTCTCCATTTCAAACCCCCGTGGATTATCGAGTTTAATAATGTCAGCAGAGGGGTGATATCGGGATGAAAGTCATAGATTTTCACTCTTACAGACATAAAAGCGCAGAGAGGAGAGGAGGGCGCTTTTGGTATTGTTGTGAGGCCTCTGGTTGTTTGTGTTTAATGATGGAGCCCTTTGTTGGGGATTCCCACATTTCCTGCCTCTAATCGTATTGATACCCCGGGGGCAGAGGGTCTGGGTCCGGACTGGGTGGGCTGTGCAGGACCGGCAAAGCTGCAGATGATTTCCCCAAATTCATCACGCATGTCCTCAGATTGGAAACAGGCCCGTGCGCGTTGTGTGGTTTCAATAAGGAGCAGGAGCGTCAAAATCTACCGAATAAAGATGAAGGTATGAGAGTCAAATCAGGGGAGACACACCAGGATGGAGAGCAACACAGAGGGGGAAGAACTCAGACTTATAGAAGTAATACAACATTGTAAAAAAAATACACTGTTACAAGTAAAAGTAGAAAATAATTGGCATCAAAATGTACTTAATACACCAAAAGAAAATGTACTTTTTTGCGTAAAAGCCAATTATAGAATGACTGGATTAATCGCAGCTGAAAGGTGGAGCACATTTTAATGAATTTATATATGCTGCTCCTGGATATCTCAACCTGTAATTATAAGTACATGTTTATTTATTTTTTACTAGCTAATAATCTGAGTCTGTAAAACGCTGTTAGAAAAATGGAGTGGAGTAAAAAGTGCAAAACTGGCTCCTTAAATGTGGTGGAGAATAAGCATAAAACTTGAGTAAATGTACTTACTTTCAACCTCTGTAGGGACATATGCAGATGAACCAAAGTGTCCCCCCATCATAAAATCTGTGCAGCATTACATTTGGGCTCTCGGTGAGGTGTGATGCAATAAATATGGAAACGTTCAAATCAATAAGCGGTTTTTCTCACCCACTATGTAAACAATAACAGATCTGATATCTAAAAACAAAGACCATTGTTTTCCAGTGAAAGTACATTTACTCTGTACTTATTAACTATTTGAGCTACTTGTACTTGACTTTATTATTTCCATGTATGCTTCATGTACTAAAAACAACAATTACATGTCATATCATTTGTATGGTTGTTAAAGAGACAATTTAACGTTACAGATATTGAGTATATTATGCAGTTCATGTCATGTCAGTATATCATCAAGTAACTATGAGTTTTAAATTAATGGTGTTAAAAGTACAATACAATACTAAAAAATGAAGTGGAGGAGAATGCAGCAGAAGATGGAAAATAGTGTATTTTGGTTGTTTTCCTATGTTTATAAACCACATCAGACTTTATATAAAACGTATTATGAGAAAGGTCATTGCATTTTGACAAATATGAAAAAAAATCTAAGTAAAGTGTGCTATTAAATATTCAAAAAAAGTAATATTATTATATGTCAAAATATATTTTTTAATGAATTGTATAGTATTTTTTTTTTTAAAACAATCCTAAACATTAGTGTAGTGTGTCCAAAAATATTGAAAAAGTAGTCGTACAGTATGTCGAAGATTTCATGAAAAAAATCACAATACAATATGTCAAACATATCTAAGAAGTCAAGGATGTGGAAAAATATATAAAAACTCATAGTATAGTAGGTCAAAAATGAATTAAAAAGTCTGTAGTATAAAGCAAAAATGTAAAAAGTCAAGGTAAAGTTTGATATTTGAACAATAACAGATTTGGTACCCAAAAACAGAGACCATTGTGTGTATGTTTTGTACCGCAGATTAATAAGTAGGCGAGTAATAACACTTAATTTATTTTATATATTGATATTTTGCAGGAAATAACCAGTCCTTCTTTCTGCAGGTCTCTAACCTTCAGACTCCTTCAGTCGAGATGTTTCCTTTTCTTAGAGAAACTCCTCCTGATCCAGAGACCAACGAGACGCAGTGTGTTTCTCATGAAGAGCCCCCCTCCATCTTTATACACACACGCACATGCACACACACACGCACACGCACACGCACACGCACACGCACACGCACACACACACACACACACACACACACACACACACACACACACACACACACACACACACACACATCTTTATTCACTTACAGAGCTGGCAGAACAGGGGAGAATATCACGAGAAATCTTAGGTATCAGGAATTATAACACACAAACACACACACACACCAATTGACACACATATACACACACACATTCACACACACACACACATGTACACACACACAGAGACACTTACACACTAACTTACAAACATACAAACAAGCACTCACACACACACACACACACACACACACACACACACACACACACACACACACACACACACACACACACACACACACACACACACACACACACACACACACACCCACCTTCATTCACTTACAGAGCTGGCAGAACAGGGGAGAATATCACGAGTAATCTTAGGTATCAGGAATTATAACACACAAACACACACACACACCAATTGACACACATATACACACACACATTCACACACACGTGTACACACACACAGAGACACTTACACACTAACTTACAAACATACAAATAAGCACTCAAACACACGCCATTAGAATCAGATGGACACATTAACACACAAACAAAAATGGAAACACACACACACACACACACACACACACACCTGAGCTCATTAACACATTATTTATTGGTTGGCAGATCAACGGCTCCACAACAGAGGAAGTGTGTCCCTCTGTGTGTGCGTGTGTGTGTGTGGGTGTGTGCGTGTGTGTGTGTGTGTGTGTGTGTGTGAGCTTCTGAGAGTCCTCATCATCACTGTGACTGTGTGTGTGGCGCCACCTAGTGTTAGAAACGCCTCAGATAGTATAGAATGTTGAAAAAATATCGTATGTTGAAAATATAGAAATAAATAAATTATAAGTAAACTATGAGGTAATAAATGATGACGTAAAAAAGTAATAATATAGCATGTTGTATCTAATGGATCAGCCTCTGGTAGATGTTGGTTTAAGAGAATTAGAACAAGTTCCCTGATGTTTCCAGCAGAGGGAGCTCTTTCCCCAACAATTGATTGATTGATTGAAAAGTTTATTAACAGCTTGTATATTGGGTACAGTACAGTACAGCTCAAAACATACAATTGTTAAGGGGATGCAGACCAGAGAAAGACTTTCGTCTTGTTTACATCAGGGTCCCCCATTTCCAATTCATCATATCATTTAAGACATATAAGACATATTTGACATACAGATGGCTTATTTACAATGTACATACAGGTGGTTTTTTACATACAGATGGCTTATTTACAATTTTCATTTTAGATTTCGTTCTAATACATCCTAACCGGACATTTAAGACATACCAAGTCTACAGATATACAGTTAGTAACAAAGTCTAAAATGCGAGTATATACATAGATGGGGGGGATATAAGTACAATAAGTACCTTCGGGTTGCTTCACCGGGTTCACGAGGGTCCAAATCACGGTGGATTATTGTATACAAGTCTAAAGTACTGACATGCATCCTGATCGTTGGTCTGCTGACCTCAGTGAGAAAACCACTACACTACACAATGCTAGAATGGCTGCATGGTAGAAATGTTATTACATTGATCTGACGCTTTTATTCAAAGCATCTCACAACAGGTGCAATCAAGCATGAGGACGTACTTTCAAAATAGCAAGAATACCGCAGTTTCATTAGTACATGTACTTAGTTACAATCCAC